AGGCTTATGAGAAGGGAGGACAGAGTACCTGAACCTTTGAAATTCAGGAAGACGACGAAAAGGTAGGGCTTTTTCATGATAAAAACCTTATGTGTCAGCGGTAGTTTTTAAAAATAAGCAGAATTGTGAGATTTAAGTAAAAGCAAATGCCACAACTTTTCCATATTACAAAAACTGGTTTCTCAATTTTAATAACATTGATTATTTTCTATCAATTTGTTAATTGTAATTTAAATGTGAATTATGCATTGAGAAAATTCACGGTTTTAGATTTTGAAATCGAAAAAGTTCAAAGCCTTACCCTGATCACAACAAGCCATTTTTTTCCAATATATTCGGTAACTTTTAGTAAAAAAACGTTAAACAAATTTCATACTTTACTTTTGTGTCGGGAGGGAAATTAGGGGGGAGGGGGGAAATTTCCACTTTATAAAAAAGAATTTAGATCTTTTTATGATATCAAAAAGTGTGTTAATAACCTAAGTGAAGAACAGTGCCGATAAAGTCTTTGTTAGAAAAATCAATAAAACTATAGCTTTAATGTCGATATGACTTTTTAAAATAAATATTAATTATATATATCTTATGTATGATAACTTGTAGAAAAATGTGCTCTGCCAGTATACTGCTCTGCCATTGGTGGTATTTCTGGTCACGTGATTTAAGTTTCAGATTTTCAAAATTTTACATATATGAATTTTCGTATAATTTTATCAATTTTTAACATTTTCTTTTTGTTTATAATTGTATATACATTGTAAAACAAAAACAAAAAAGTTTGAGGATTATATAAAAAAATCGTAGATTAAAAAAATTTAATGAAACTCGAATTTGTTGGAAGAAAATTTTTTAAATTTTGATCATCTATAAACCTTCCCTGGCGACATGTAAAATTTGGGCCTGATCGGTTCAGCCGTTTTGACGTTTATTGGATACAAACAAACAAACAGACAAGCAAAGTATAAATATAGATATTTATTTATGCTAGCGTGGTCCATGGCCATATATATATATGCCTATAGTTTTACGCCTATAATTTTTATTTACCCCTCATTCTTATGATTACTGAGGCCAGTTGATTCAGCCGTTCCGTCATTTTTTGGTTCATTTAATATCTTCCAAAAACACAATAATACATGAAAAAAAGAAAATTTGATTTTCAGATGTGCGTAATTTAAAAATTTTAATAAAAATGCTTGATCCACTCTTTTTCTTGATCTCCAGATTAAATATTGCTTGTTCTCTCATAAATTTAATCTCCAGATTAATTAACAGATCGGGATTAAGGATATCACATTCTAAAGTTTTCAGCTCAGATTACAGATTAAATCTTTCAAGATTCTTCTGCCTTTTTTGTACAAGTTTCCATAGTTAAGTTTTTGTGTCATGCATATGTTGCATGACGAATGACGATACAAAAATAACATGAATGAAAAGAAAATAATATTTACAAGTACATTTTTTTAAAATGTGCATTATTTTAAAACGTTATCAAAAATGTTACAGATTACAGATTACATCTTTGTAGATTCTTACTTCACCTTTATCAACGATTATTTACTTAGCTTAGCAGAGTGCCTTTTTTTTGTATAAATTTCCATTGTTTAAGTATTTGGTGATCTCTGGATCTGCCATAAGTTGGTTTTTAGCTGAGGGTGTTAAGTATTTGCATCTGTGAATATTATTTGCACGGATTACACAGATGGGACAAGAGAGTTTGTTGCTGGTTTAAACTTGTGTTTACTTTTGGTGAAAATGAAAAAAATTGAGAACAGTGATCGTAACTTTAGTATGGTTATTGGTTATTTTATTATTAATGTTGTTTCTCTTCCTTTTCTAGCTGCATCATGTTTAATCTAAAGCGTTTCAATCTTTAACTATTTCTAATCCTCCGTGTTACCGTAGCGGACCTATTTTTGCAAAGTTTGAGAAATCTCGTTTCAAGGGATTAAAATTTTCATCGTTGTTGCTTAGCGCTTTGTTTCAGACAAAGGCCTCTCATATAATGTACAATGCATAACCAAAAAGCAATGTATGATGTAAAAAACGTATATTTTCTTTATTTTGGATTTTAAATCATATATTTTGTTAGGTTTATATTATTAACATGAATCTCACTTGTCCTCTCTGAAAAATCAATGTTTGCTTAATGTTAAATAAAAACCACCTGTAGTGTATCTACTAGAGTATACTATCTAGATGTACAGATGAGAAAGGAATATTATTTGTTCCAGTTTACTAGTATTCCTAAACTCATCGCATAGTGTAGACATGATATACATGATACATGGGGCAGACATAACATAATACAGGGGGCAGACATGACATATATGAAACAGGGGGCAGACATGACATAACATATATGATACAGGGGGCAGACATGATATACATAATACAGGGGGCAGACATGACATGACATACATGATACAGGGGGAAGACATGACATACATTATACAGGGGGCAGACATCATGACATACATGATACAGGAGGCAGACATGACATAACATATATGATACAGGGGGCAGACATGATATGATATACATAATACAGGAGGCAGACATGACTTGTTATATGATACAGGGGGCAGACATGACATAACATACATGATACAGGGTACAGACATAACATACATGATACAGGGGACAGACATGACATGACATATATGATACAGGGGGCAGACATGACATGACATTCATGATACAGGGGGCAGACATGACATGATATACATGATACAGGGGGCAGACAAAGCATAATATACATAATACAGGGGGCAGACATGACATGTTATATGATACAGGGGGCAGACATAACATAATATACATAATACAGGGGGCAGACATGACATAACATACATGGTACAGGGGCAGACATGACATGACATATATGATACAGGGGCAGACATGACATGACATATATGATACAGGGGGCAGACATGACATACATGATACAGGGGGCAGACATGACATACATGATACAGGGGGCAGACATGACATGACATACATAATACAGGGGGATCATTTAGAATGAGATTAAAAGAACGCTAAGAAGGTTGAAGTTATATCGTGGCAACCCCTGTGAAAAAGAATAAGATAAGATAAGATAAGATAAGATAAGATAAGATAAAGTTTATTGCTAAAATACATGTATCTGTGTATACAGATAGAGTTTACAATCACAAAATTGATGATTATATTAACAGTACAAGTATAAAGCAATTAGGTGGAAAATAGCTCTTGGCTGTTTTGATTATTTTTTCCACCTAATGTTAGTAATAATAACAAAATATTTCAATTAAATAGATTTAAGGAGAATGATTAGAGATCAGGGTGCGAATTTATCATATGCAAAATAGTTTATACATAAATTCAAATAACTAGAGTTTAAAGTAATTTTCAGACATGTACACAACAAATATCAAAGCATACTAAAACATATCTAATTAGTTTTACATGAATAGCAATTCGGTTTATAACATATTGTCCTATAATTTTCAAAAAGAGAATTTAGTAGTCTATTTTTAAATATACTTAGAGAGTTGCTTCTTTTTAAGTCAAGAGGCAGGTTATTCCACATCTTAAGAAGAGAGCTTGATGGTAAATACTGTAATGAGCACATTTTGAGAATGTCAAGTTGATAGTTAAGAGATCTTTCAAAGTTTCCGAGCTTTTAAAAAATATTTTCAAAAGATGCAGGAAGAAGTTTATGTGTATATTTATACATAAATATATATATATATATTACAGCCTTTAGTAACTAACAGAGTTGATTGAATGTAATTATGTTTAATTTTGCAATATAATATAGAAACATTTCATTTAGATTTTGGTTTCAGACATAAATGTTATGATTTTGTCTTTTTTCTTTAAAAATGTAAACAAAATGACAAGACTTCGAATTTTTGAGTATTTTTAGTATTGCCTACTAATTCAATTCATGCCTTCAATTTCATACATTTATTGAATGAGCAATAGCTTTAAGCAATTGAAAACTTTATGGAGAAAAGAATTGATCATAAACTAAAAAATTATCACTTTTGTTACCAAAAAAAAAACATAATTTCTTTGTGAAAATGATCTGCATATCCTTAAAAATCAAATTGTTCCAGAAAGGTATAAAAAACATTCTCCTGATATTTTAAAACTAAAATGAAATACTAGCTGAATTGTGCCCGGCGGTGTTCGTGGAATTTTTTTAAAGAAAAATGAAATTTAGAATTTTAAGAGTATCCAATATCCAATAACTGACGCGCCCCGCCCTACCATAAATTATACATGCTTTGCAGACGGTACTCCATTTGTATAAGAAATATTTGTCTGATGTACAATTACCGCGTATACAATAACCTATTCTGAATATTTCTTATCATAATGGAGTACCCGTCTGCAAAGCATGTATAATCACATGGTAGGACGGGCCGCGTCAGTTGTATCTCCCTTCTATTTCATTCTCCTTGGTGGGGACCCTATCTAAGCTCCCTTGACAGACTCCAAGGAGTAATTTCGACATGTTCCATTAAAAAGATTCAAACAGTGGTAGGCGATAATATCAATATAATGAAGACGACTTTTAAATTGAATTTTGAATCATACACAAAAATGGAAACACAAATTTTGGAAACAAAGAGAAGCTTTCAATCTAAAAAGCTTCTCTTTAATTACTTGTAAACTTGTAATGCGAAAAAAGCTTCTTAACATACGGTGGTAGGCGATATTACCAATATAATGAAGACGACTTGTTATTTAAGTTTTTATTGTTAACAAGCTTTTTGCGATTTACAAGTTTACAAGTAATTAATAAGAAGCTTTTTAAATTTATATCTTCTCTTTGTTTCCATTTTTTGTGTATCTATGCTGCTTAAAAGCTTGATATAAATCAAAATTGAAATCGAAAGTCGTCTTCATTGTATTTATTTAATCGCCTACCACCGTATTAAAACTTAAAAAATCGTCTTGATTATATTGATATTATCGCTCCGTAGATTAGCCAAAAATGCTGTTTCAGACATTAGATATCGGAAAGAATGGTGAAGCTGAAAGGACGAATGAGCGAAGGCGACATTTCATTGTTTCTCAGGAATTCAATCCTCAAAATATCTAAAGTTTGGATTTTTATTTTGGTTATCTTCAGGAAAGGTTTCGAACAGATTTACTTGATTTTTTACTTTTTCTTTTAATATTATGATTTACTTAAGGTCTAAAATGTACTCAATATATAGGGTTATCCACAAAGGACGAGACTGTAAAGACGACCCAAAACTCTTAAAATATGACAATTTGAAGCTTGATTTTAAGTTTCTGCATTCAATTAAGTATTTTGATTGTTTGCTAAATGACTAAGCACAGAAATAAGCCAGTTTTGGCCTGCAAGGAACCCCGAATACAAAAAAACGGACTAAACAAATTCCTTACAATTGTCTCTGAAGACTCATCCTCTGTGGTTAACCCTGTATATTACATAGTATCCGACAAAGGATGAAACGTTTTTTAATTTTCTATCTCCAAATTTTGCTTAAACAGGCCTCTGAAGTTTGTATGTCCTGTATAGCTGTAGGCTGGGCAATTATTTAAGCTCTGTTTTTATTTAAAAATTACAACTCCTACCAATATAAACCATTTTTTAACCTTTTCACTTTCTGAAGAAATTGATCATTGATATTTCAAACTATAAATTATGTTAGATTAAAAAATCTAAGTTTGGAACATCACATGTTATACATTTTGTTTTAAGTTTTTCAATGCATGAACAATTTTTTGACCGTCTAATAAGGTTAAAAATTAAACCATTTTAGTTCTTTACCTTCCCCCCCACACAACAAAACCTTTATTTTTACTTTTAAATTATCCTTTAATGCGAGTTATTATCAGATATTTGAGGATTCATCTCCTGCTTCAGTAGATCAAGGTTAGGTTAATTCACTTAATACATGACCTTAGAACAGCTACCCTTTAAACTCCGCCTTTAAACCTTTATCGGATACAAAATTGGAAACATATAATCTCAGGATTTAGATAATATAGTCTTTTCTGGTCAGAAAGGTAGTCTGTAATTGTATATATATGCAATATAAAAAACCGTTTTGATTTATAAACTAGTTTTAAATATACATTACTTAATTATCATTCTTTACTCATAAGTTATAAATTCTTATAATTTCCCTCTTTTGCTGTGCAGCATAAATTAGAAATTATCAACTTTATTGAGAATCTGCGTCTTAGCCAAAGTATTAAAGGCAAACATGAAACCCCTATAAATAAATGTTCACTGGAATCGTCTCCCGTTCCTTTAAACTTAAACATACATCTATTTTCGTTTAATTGCATTTTACATTATATTCTCTAAATAAATCAATTATAGTTTTAATTTAAGTATATCATGCAAGAAAGTTCAAGGGCGTAATTATGAAGATTGAAGGCTAACCCCCCGCTCTCCGCCCTCCTACTTATATCCGTGCAGTTTTATTTTAAATTATTCATTTTTTGTTATTATTTCTTTGAGATTTTTAAACGATCAATAAAATCACCAACATTTTCTTTTCGTGTAACCTGATTTTATTCATAAAGTTAATTTAAAATTCATATCTTTATCAATCATTCTATCGGATATTCTTTTAGTATTCTGATTCCTTTATTCTTTAGTCTTTAATGCATGATATTTGTTCCACCTTATTCTATTCTAGCTCATTCCGTTTTATCTATATTCTCTTTTACTCTTGTTTATTTTTTCTTTACATTAGTTTTCTCCTTTTTCCCTCTTTTCTCTTTATTTCTTGAGGTTGTGCAGGGGGGCCGGGGGGGGGGGAATCTTAAAAATCGAGGCCGAGCCCCCTCTCTCAACTAGTGCCCCCATTTTTTAAGGGAGGTAACACACTAGTTTATTTGATGTGTACACTGTGCAGGCCGACTCGCAAGCGGCTAGCCATGTTGTGTATATACTAGTACATACAGCTATAGAGAGTAAAACAAGGAGATATTGGTATACAACATAAATCTTACTCTTTCATGGAGACTAATGTAACATCCCCCCAAAAAGTCAAGGGGGAGGGTCACCACGACCCCCCCCCTTATTCTTTCTTGCTCCTCTGAAACCTATTCTCACCCTCCTGCATCTTCTCTGATAACAAATAGAGAAGTTAGATCTTTAAGTTCATTAAAATAAATCTTGGCGAAAATGTTCATTGTTTTTTTTATTATCAGGAGCGTATTCAGGATTTTAGCCAGGGAGAGGGCATGATTTTTTTTGTCCCCCCCCCCTGGCTAAAAAATATTGGAAAATAAAATAATTTTTGTGCAGATGGTTATTTGAATGAGAAATATTGTAATCAATTTCTAAAATATATTTTGTTTAAGACGGGGTCATAAACCGCTTCTGGAAACAAGATCTCTTCCTGTTCGACCGAACCGAGCACCGGACACTGCAGAACCAGTTGCTAAGTAAGGAAACATATGCTGATTTTTTTTTGACCGGAAGAAATTGTTTTGATTTAAAAGGACTATCGATCTTATTTAAAGAAAGACATGTCCCAATTACATAGGTATCCTTTAAACCTGTATCTAATCAATAACGTTTTTCTACATTGAAAATAATTATTTTCAACTTTTAAACAAAATTATGACACCTACGCTCCTGGTGCTTTAAGACCCAATAAGATCTTGGGAAGCCTGTATTTATTGCATTCTTATTGCTCCATGTAATAAAGAGATAAATGGTTATTGTTGTTACATTTGAATTCATTGGATCTGCAAAGCAGAAATCCGCAAATCACTTATATTGAGAAACCCCAATTGAAAATATATAAAATTTCAAAATGAGTGAAAAAGTTATAGCACATTATTTGTATCCAGACAAAGCTTTTAAGGGAACCTTTGTGAATCTAACCTACCACTTTATAAACTAAGATGCACTTGAAATTACATCTATATGCCCTTTGAACATTTTTATAGCTACCAAATATGTTTGATATATATTATAAGAATAAGATACTCGACATTAATGTTAACTTTTCATTAATAATAAACTGACAGAAATTTTAAAAAAATGTACTTCGAAAAGTACTTTAACTGTAGATATCCTTCCTGAGTTGTTTTCTGGGTCAAATAAACCATTAAAGAATTTTATAATTTCCTAGTTTCTTGGTTTACCGCCTGTTAAACAACAGTAAAACAATAAAAATTAATTAAAACTTAATTTTCGTTTTCATAATTCTCTTCTGGAGATTTTTTCTTTACATGGGAAATGCCGTAGACCTTAAATATTTCAAAGTATGAATTTTGATAGATCAAAAACTCAATGCATAATAAAATCAAAAGTTTACACGTCATCAGGTTGCACAAATGTAGGGTATAGAAATTTACAAAAATGAAAACCTTTACCACCTTCCATTAAACATCGTTAGCGCCTCCTATGGATCAAATCAATGAAACATGGAAATACGTTACACTTTTTCATTATGTTTTTACTTATGTAAGTACAGTTGAATTGAGGGGTAGCCGTACCCGTACACTTAACCCCAATCTCGAACAAAAATTGAAAACTATTGCTTTCCGCGGGGCATGGAATGATAAAAAAGGTGCCACCCCCCCCTCCCCCGGACAAATTAAAATTAGAACGAAGTTCGGATTAGAAAAAGTTCGGATTTCATTTTGAGGGAAGGTGCATGGATGGTACTTACTCCTTAAACTACTGCGGAGTTTGAAGTTTAAAGCTAGAAATAGAAATTTAATTCTCTCTGTTTACTCTACTCAGCCTTAGACTAAACCAAAACATTGTAATTAAACTTGGTTTGAAGAGGATGAGAAGGGAGAGGGGGGGGGACAGATTCAAATAACTAAGTTCATTGGAGTCTCCATTAATCTACTACTGGGCAAATGAACCCACTTCTACTCTCTCTTCAAACCCTTCAAGTTCTCAATTCTGGCGTCCGCAAAATATTAGGTTCTAACTCCGCGGCCCGGTAGAGAAAACATGGTTTTCAAGGTTATTCAATAAACATGAAATATTAGGTTCTAACCTGCGCGGTACAGAGTTCATGATTTTAAAGGTTATTCAATAAACATGAAGTATTAGGTTCTAACTCCGCGATACAGAGTAAATGATTTTCAAGGTTATTCAATAAACATGAAATATTAGGTTCTAACTCCGCGGTACAGAGTACATGGTTTTCAAGGTTATTCAATAAACATGAAATATTAGGTTCTAACTCCACGGTACAGGGTACATGGTTTTCAAGGTTATTCAATAAACATGAAATATTAGGTTCTAACTCCGCGGTACAGGCTTTTCAAGGATCTTCAATAAACATGAAATATTTGGTTCTAACTCTGCGGTACAGAGTTCATGATTTTCAAGGTTATTCAATAAACATGAAATATTAGGTTCTAACTCCGCGGTAGAGAGTTCATGATTTTCAAGGTTATTCAATAAACATGAAATATTACGTTCTAACTCCACGGTACAGAGTACATGATTTTCAAGGTTATTCAATAAACATGAAAGCCGAAACCGAGAGATACTATTTCTACATAGATTCACCAAGTTTTTCATTCTAAAATTGGAATGGTCGATTCTTTGTCTTTTCTAGAAAGGCAATTTCAACAAATAATGATTGTTGATTAATACAATTGTATTTTAGAATTGTAAAAGATACAATTGATCAGATTGTTGATTAATACAATTGTATTTTAGAATTGTAAAAGATACAATTGGTCAGATTGCTGATTAATACAATTGTATTTTAGAATTGTAAAAGATACAATTGGTCAGATTGCTGATTAATACAATTGTATTTTAGAATTGTAAAAGATACAATTGGTCAGATTGCTGAGTCCGAAAAAGAGGTAGAGTGGGCTGCTAGAGAGATGGAATACATTATCAGGTCTTATTATATATACTAGGATTTTGGAACGAAAATAATCCAGTTTTTTAGCGTATCTTTTTTAGCACATCGAAATTCTTTAGCCACCCGACCCCAGGGTACCCATACCCATGGGTTCCCTAAACAAATTTCAGCCAATTTGGTCCAGCAGTTTGGTTAGCTAGCTAACATATATGTATGAGCGAATAGCTTTATTACATAGAGTAACAAATATAATATTAAAGGAAATGTAAAGATGCAAGTTTAGCATCGGTATCCTTTTAACCTATCTTTAAGCAATAATGATCGAGTCATCCATCTTTTTCTTTCATAACATATGCAAATTTTTATTTCGGCACTATGCAGAATTTATAGTAGAATCTAAGGTAGAATTTATAACTGTTCATGATAGAAAAATCAATAATATCTTACTCATTGTTTCTCAGATAATTTTTTTCAAAGGTTACCGTTGTAAATGGATGGAGGGGTCACTTGAATTTACGTCGAATGTTTCGACATGCAAAAAATAGTTTTTGCCACAAACTCTGATTTTTTAATCCCTATATCTTTGGAATCCGATTTCCCAAACCTTTAATATTTCAAATTTAGACTAATTGATCTGACAGAATTTATAGTTTGAAATAGCAAAGGTTTACGACATCTGGTTCCAACGTTACAGAGTTTATAAAATCAGAGTTTGTGGCAAAAACTCAATATCTTATTGAGAAAAGAGAAATTCGGAAAGACACATGATATTTAGAATAAGAAAGTTAAAGGCAAGCCACAATTGAAACTGAGAAATATAAGAAATTTAACAAAAGTAAATGATTCAAAAGGTTAAAAACGGATAAGTATAATTCAGGGTAGACATAAAATCAGAATACTAATATAGACATATAAAAAGAAATTAAACATAAAGGAAGGGAAAAAGCTAAGATAAATTGACTGAGAATTCAAGATCGAAATAATTATTAATTACATTTAGAATACAGGGTTAGAAACAAAGTGGTCTCAGATAATAAAAATAATAAGCATTTATATTGGAAAAAAGTACGAAAGAAAAGACAAAGAAATTCATGAAGGTTGAAATTTAGAATAAAGTAGAAATGATTTGAAGAAAATATAAAGGATTGCTTTGTAAACGCTAGGGTTTCTTTATACCTTTAGTAAGTAAAATTAAATTCTAAATCCAAAATCCAAAATTTATGTAAATTGTTTTGAATCTATTAGCATAGAAAAACTAATATTTAAAGAATAATTAAATGGACTGCTAGTGAAATTGTAGTATTAAGTGTGGTAGAATAGCTGTATTCGGAGGGTGTATTCTCTACACTGGAGCTCCATACTTTGCAGCTATATCAGCCTTAAAGGTCAGCTATCTCCTTAATCAAATATATTTCATTAATTTCAATAATAAATACACAGTGTAAGGGGTGTATGTTTTCTTGACAAATCATTCCCCTACCCCTCCTCTTTTGGAAATATTTTTTCCCCCATAACTTCATAAGTTAGATGTGTTTGCGCGAATCTAAATTTTTTATGGTTTTATTTTGTTTTTTTGGTTTTAGTTGGTTTTATTTTGTTTTTGTTTTATTTTGTTTTATTTGCTTTTATTTTGTTTTATTTTGTTTTAATATGTTTAGATCGATTATCTTAGTTTTATTTCTATTTGATGTTTCCTACATACACTGTCCTTTAGCAAGCCGGAGAGGGAAAGATTCGTGGAGATGGTTTTATCTTGTTATTTTTTACAAACATCAGATAGAAATAGAAAAAGTAACGATAGATTCTGAATCTAAACACAGTTAGTCCTGTTCGGTTGTACCATATTTCATTTTTAGTGAACACACCCTTTAAGGAAAGGAAAAGGAATGCAAAACAAGTAGGAGAAAAATATATAGATATGGAAGGAATTAAAATTAAGAGAAGGAACTGAATACTCGCCACAAACTCTGATTTTCGAATTTTCATTTGGAATCATATCTATGCAACCGGATGTCAGAGACCTTTGATATTTTAAACTATGAGTTCTATTGGATCAGCTAGTCAAATGTTAACACTATCAGGTTGCAAAGATGTCAGAATTGGAAAAATATAGTTTATATCGAGAGTTAAGTTCCTTTCAAAGAAAAAAAACTAAAAGTTTGCCCATGAAGGAAGGAGAGAAGAGCTATAGAAGATTTTGAGAAGAAGACGGGAGGAGAAGGGAAGAGCCGAGGGATGGGTGTACTCACAAGCTGGATGAACCTGAAAAGAGAAACGGATAAAAACCACCAGGTTCAGACAAAACTTATCTTTTCTTTCTCAAACTTTCCAACAATGGTTTAATCTTCATCCCACAGTATTTGTTGAGTACTCGTCCACTAGAAAATCTAGAGCAACAACTTTCCAAGCTTTAAGAGAAATATGTCAATCAGGGGGGTAACACAAGAAGGGGGAGGGGGGTTAAATCTCTTTAATTAGGCCTTTAGGACATTTCGCGTCCCAATATCTAGTAATAGTTTTTTTTCTTCATCTTCTATTTACAAAAACATAAGTAAATTATATTTTATAAAAATTGGAGACATTATTATCACAAAATTGTCAACCATTGGTTCAACATATTTTTAATACTTTATCCTTTATGTGAAACAATATGCATGCTCTTTATAGTATTTAATTGAAACTTATTTTTGATTTGAATTTCCAGGTTTTATCATGACACTTTTTATCCTGCATATTGATTTGTATTACACAACAAATAGTTGATCTGTTCAAATTTTTTATTAAACATTGTTTTAAAAATCACGCGCTAGAATCTTCAATATCTTCATATATGTATTTTATATAACTAGAAAACAATCGGAATTGTCGTTGGGAACTTTTTCTTTAGAAATGCTCATAAGTAGGAATTCGTGTATTGTGGATATCTTTTTGTTAATCTGCAGATTAATTTCATTTCATTCAATATCCCGTGAATCAGATATCCTGTGAACAGCAGATCAGAAGCCAAAGAACTTTCCACTCAACCCATGAGAGAACAGAGAAATTGCGTAAATAAAAAACCAACAGATCAAACAGATTCCGCGTAAAATTCCAAAGTGCCCACTGTGGATATCGAGATCAAGTGATCGGGATTGTTGGTTTCCAGCACTAAATTTATAATAGGATAATTTGAATACCAGTCTGCATTTCATCCAGAAATAAAGAGCAATTTGCCATTTCTATTACTTTTTTCAACGGTAAAAATAAACTTCCTGCAAAGATTATTATCACATCTTAAATTCAAAGATACAGGGTGTCCCACTAAACAAGGCGACCTGAAAATTAAGTGTTCTATATCTACGATACCCCAGAACCATAGAGAATAGAATATATATTAGAGGGAAATTTCAAGAATCTCTCGGTATGAATTTTTTTCAGTCCCTTTCAGCCTGAAAGGGAGTTCAAAGTGTACAAATCATGTAAATTTTCACAAATTATATGCAATAGAGTACATTAATACAGTATGTTCCTTAGACTATTCATTTCAATTTTGAATTTTTTAAACTGTTAAATAAACTTTATAATGAATTAGGTGAATAAAAACATCATTTGATTTATAGTTATAACGGAAAATCATCGTTTGTAAAGTGGAAGGCATAAGGTCAACGTGAAATGATCATTGGTCAATTATGAAACCAGCCTATTTCATAATTTGGTTTTCTTTTAACAATAATTTTAGATTTTCTATAAAATGATATTCCAGGGCCCAAAAGGTTATATAGCATAAATGTGAAGTACACCTGCAGTCTGGAAACAGTACAACAAAATGGCCGTTTTACACTTTTTTCTAGTAAATTCCCCTCTAATATATAATCTATTCTCTATGCCAAGAACATAATGGAATATCCTTAAAATAAAGTGTACCGCAGTTTCTTGGAGGAAGCTTAGCCTGAGTAGCACAGCGTGTGTTTACATTTCTCCCAAAAACTGCAGTACACTTTAATTAATGGGAGTTCCTGTTGAATTCCTTGTGCGCTACATTCATACGATATATATTTAAAACAATGTTAACCTTAAATATTCTCCTAATCATCGGATTTAAAGCTTTTAATTTTTAAGATTTGAATATACATTATTGAGAGCCCATGACTCTTGAGAATCATAACTTGTTTAACATGCTAAATTTTTCATTCAATAACTTTTAACAAGGGTGTATACTAGAATTTGTCCAAGAAGGGGCTTATTTTTTCTTTCTTTGGGGGGGAGCTTACTCCCCATTAGGGCCTGGACTCAATTTTTAAAGATCTTTGGGGACACTCTGTGTTTTCTGAAAATTCTGTTTAAATCCATTCTTTCCACAAAGACATTTTACGTTATTTATATCTACATTTTTCCATTGTCTGCGCTTTCAAAATTACATTACAAAAACTCCATTTTTCATATTTCTTTACAATTTACATCTTGCAGTGATATTATTTTTTTCTTCTAAAGTAAGAATTTTCCAACTATATGGTCCTGCAACATTTACTTTCAATTTCAGATCAAAAGAAAGTTCAAAAGAAAACCTCAAACATTCAATTTTTTTCGGAAACAATTATCGAAAAAAAATCATTATCAAAGGAGTAAAAATAGTGCAATAGCTATTATGGGTGTAAGCTGTGGCTAGGTTAGATAAGAGGGGTGGGAGCTGTGGCTAGGTTAGATAAGAGGGTTGGGAGCTGTGGCTAGGACAGATAAGAGGGGTGGGAGCTGTGGCTAGGTTAGATAAGAGGGATGGAAGCTGTGGCTAGGATGAAAAAGAGGGGTTGTAGCTGTGGCTAGGATGAAAAAGAGGGGTTGTAGCTGTGGCTATGATAAAAAAGAGGGGTGGGAGCTGTGGCTAGGATAAATAAGAGGGGAGGGAGCTGTGTCTAGGATAGATAAGAGGGTTAGGAGCTCTGGCTAGGATAGATAAGAGGGGTGGGAGCTGTGGCTAGGATAGATAAGAGGGGTGGGATCTGTTACTAGGACATGTTCTACATTTTTTGGGTTCAGACTTTTTGTAACTTTAATCAGTAATCAAATTAAAATTATTTTTTCCTTACTTTTACCCTTGAAATAAAAAAGAATAAAAGATATAATATGTAAATAGAAAAAAGGAAATATTAACCAATAGTTCTCCACAAGAAATACGTCTAGTTCCATATGTATTATTTTCTAAAAAACAGAAATAACAATTTGGAAAAGAAATACAATGTGAATTATAACAAAATATATGGCTCTATTTGTGGAAATATGAAAAATGAAGAATGGACGCGGATTCAATTTATTTCCCCCAGAACCCTCAAGTATATATAATATATATATATATACACAATGAATTCTCATATATTTATATATCTTATATGCTAAGTGGTGACAGGGGCACAATATATTGAGGTCCCCTGCTTCTCATATTATAGATATTAGAATGTAAACCCAAATAAATTATCAAATGTACATTTGGTAACCGCCGAAAAAGTTCTCCGAAAAAAGTTTTTGTTGATAAAGTATTAAATTTTGGCACTAAAAAGTCTAGAGGAAAAAAACCTTGAAATAAATATTCTCTGGAAATAAAGTCTTAAATTAGTTTGAGATTTGATTTTTTAGGATTTTTTTCTGATTTCATATTTTTTGATTTGATTTTTTGATTTCATACAAAAACGTCCCTGGAAAAAAAGTATTCTGGGAACAAAGGATGTTTACAATCATGGAAAAAAGGGCTTTGATATTAAAGACATTCTTGGCAGCATTCAATATGCAGATGCAAAAAAGAAATGTCCTTTTTAAGAAAATTTTTTGGAAATGATCTCATTTTTCCAGGACTTAGGACTTATTTTATTCTTGTTTTTTTTCTTCGGATATTTTTTCTTCAAGACTTTTTCTCCTGTGATCTTTTCCTGAAACTTGGCAGCTCCCATATTATTTTAGGGAAAATATCCCAGAAACTAAAACTCAGGACTTTATTTCTAGTGACATTTTGTCCTAGGACTTCAGAAAATTGGGACTTTCTTATTAAAGTATTTATTTACAGGTTTTTTATGTGCAGAAACTTTTTCCGGTCAGTTTCTATATTTGTACATTTATATTTGTTGTGCACAATCTGCACAATATTTACAATTTGTACAATCTGTACAATATCCACAATACAATCTGTACAATTTGTACAATCTGTATAATCTGTACAATCTGTACAATCTGTTCAATCTTTACAATCTATACAATCCGACAATCTGTACAATCTGTACAATCTGTTTAATTCATTGAATGATGATTTAATTTAAAATCTGTACAAATATGACTTTAATACCTCAAAACCGTCCCTTCCTTTATTGATTTATGGAGTATATCTTGTACTATGTGTTAACATACGCTGAACTTCCTCATACAAAAAAAATAAGAAATAAACTACTTCCTTAAGTAAAATAAAAGTTATTTGATGGCAGAAATACAGTGTGGCGTTTAAACTGCTGCCTGAAAACCTAATTTTACCTATACAAGACTAAATTCATCTTTTGCCCTATTTGCAGTCATTGGAAAGCCTATGACCACAGGAAGCAGATTGCACAATTTTTGCAAAAAATTTTAAATAGCTTTTGCACAGGCGCCTTTAAAGGGAATTTGGACTTTTCAGTTTTCTTGAATTTGTACTTGAAAATTGGGTTCTTGAGCATTTGTGTTTATAAAGTCTTGAATTTGTATTGGAAATAAAATTTCTTTTAAAAATAATTCAAATCAATATCTACAAAATCGTTTTATGTCAACATCTTTGTTCCTTGAATAAATGAAAGGTAGAACTAATCCAAATTCATTTTGCTCACTCTCAACTGAGTTGTTTTGGTCAAAGCAAAAATAATTGATTATTTGCTTTTCTAAATGTGTTCTTCTAAAGCTTGATGGTGATACTAGTTTAGATTTCTCCCTAAATATACATTTTCCCATAGATATTTTCCATAAATATACATTTTCCCACAGATATTTTCCATAAATATATATTTTCCCATAGAAATCTTCCATGAAAAATATACATTTTCCCATAGATATTTTCCATAAATATATATTTTTCCGATAGATATTTTCAATAAATATATATATTTTCCCATAGAAATTTTCCATAAATATACATTTTCCCATAGATATTTTCCATAAATATACATTTTTCCGATAGATATTTTCCATAAATATATATTTTTCCAAACTTTATACTTTCCCATGCTTGTAATTCCTGAATTATTTTTATTTCAGTGAAAACTCTTGTATCTAAAACCCTTAATCCCAATTGCTAAATATCTGTATCCACTGTCGGCACTTCTTTTATTAATTGGCTTCTGATTGGCTGTTTGGTTTTTAGACAATTTCCTGGATATTAACGTACGATTAATACAAAGAGGAGATCAGGCGCTGATCTCGATATCCATAATTCTTAAGTTTTCAGCTCTGTACTTATATTTTCAAACAAATATATCTCCCTGGTATATATATTTTCCTGTAATTACATTTTTACCACATGTACATTTTCCCATGAATATTTTGTTCATGCATTTGGGTATTTTTCCAAAATCATTGCAACACCCTGTGCATTAGCAGCACATGCAGTAATTAATGCTTTTGAACCATTCTTATAGTGAAGCCGGTTCACTGCATGACTTAAAAGCCGAATTCCCGTTGCTCCAAATGGGTGGCCAAGAGAAACTGAGCCTCCCCAAAGGTTTGTCTTTTCCATTGGTATTTCTCCAAGTTTTTCATGCACACGAACTTTTTCAGTGCAGAACTTGTCACTGTTCATGGCAACAAGATTTGATAGAACTTGGCCAGCAAAAGCTTCATGAATCTCAAAGACATCGATATCGGAAAGTTTTAACCCTGCTTTCTGCATGAGTCTGGGAGTTGCATATGCTGGTCCTAGTAGCAGTTCTTCTTTAGGATCACAAGAAGAAAACATAATTTCTCTAAGATATGCTTTGGGCTTAAGTCCTAACTCTTTTGCCTTAGACTCAGTTGTGATAAGACAAGCTGTTGCTCCATCTGAGAGAAAAGAAGCATTTGCCGCAGTGACTGTTCCATTCTTGCTGAATGCTGGTTGAAGCCTCCCAAGCTTCTCCAAGGTGGAGACTCTAATCCCATTGTCTTTTGTGATTTTGCTCTCAAGTCCTGGTACAGTAACAGGAACAATATCTGATAAGTAACCCGCTTTGGCAGCGGCAAAGGCCAGCTCATGGGATCTATGTCCAAATCTGTCTTGATCTTCTCGAGATACTGAAAACATTGAACACAGCCTATCACAGTATTCTCCCATGATTTCATTTGAACTAAACTCTCTAGGGTCAACAAACTCAGGAATAAAGGATTTCAAATTAAAATTTCTGGCGAGTTCTCCCACCTCTGCTTTGGCTTCTAATGTCTTTGCTCTTGGACCCTTCATAAGTAACTGTCTGACAACCCTTGGATATCTTATTGGTTGATCGGAACAGAATTCAACGCCTCCGGCAATGCAGACTTCTGCTTGTCCGGTGGCAAGAAGCCCTACACAGGTTGCTACAGCTTGGTTAGACGAGATACAAGCCATTGTGACAGTGTGGCCTGGAATCCCCTTCGGAAGACCAGCTTCAAAAGCAGCTTCTTTAGTCACATTGCCAGTCCTCACCTCTTGCTGTACATTCCCTGCACAAAGATAGTCAATAGTGGAACTGTCTAAACCGGTTCTTTGCAGCAGTCCTGTATACGCCTGTGCCAGCAGCTGATGTGGCATCATATATTGATACTCCGTAAGGGAAGCCAGGAATGGAGTCCGTACTCCATCAATGAAAACTACAGGATTGGAAGAGAAGGAAGAACTATACTTCTGTTTTAGACAGGGTCTATTTCTCACAAATAGTCTACACATTCTAGAGAGATTAATCATGATGAACAGTTTGATCCCTTCGGATAACTAAATTCTCAAACTAGTATTTGCAGTGATAAGGAATAGTTCATAGTGTACGTTTTCATCATCATTACATCCAGACTAACTTTAAAAGAAAATGATATTTAAAAACGTTTTTAATTAATTTCAGGCAGCAAAAGAAGATATGAAGCGAGCTTCAGTTGCAATGAAGGTATACTATTAAGTATTTTTTCTGTGTGTTTAATTGTCTTACTGAAAAGTCTGGTTCATTTCAAGTACCGGGCAGAATTTTAACCAGCAAGAGCAAGCTGTACAGTACAATTACAGACTATGTAAGGCAAAACTTGACAGTACGCCAAATTAATGATACAATTTTAGTGAAAGGAATTGAGTCTTTGTCACAAACTCTGATTTTCTAATCACTTTATCTTTGAAACCAAATGTTGCATACCTTAGATATTTCAAACTATGAATTCTGTTAGATCAAATAATCTGAGTTTGAAATATCAAAGGTTTACAACATCGAGTTCTGAAGATATTGAATTAAATATTTTATTTTGTTCCAAAGAATCAATTCCTTTAGTAAATATTTTGTACTGTTGTTGTGTAATTTAGATATTGAGAATTTAAGCCAGATTTTGATTTATGAAATGAAATCTTAATCTAAATTATCCAAATCAAATTCCCGGTTAAAATACAGTTTACAAAACCTTTCCTTTCTCAAAAAAAAAAAAAAAAAAAGTTGGAAAAAGTTATGTTTTATGTACATTGTACACTGTACACTGTACGCTGTACAGAGCAGGCTGGTACTTCAGAAACAGTTGAAATGTTTAACAGATAATTTAAGTAAAAACGATAAGATTACATTTGATTTTAGTCAGATTATGTTAAACCGATTTTAGTATTGTACAGGGTTACCAACTAAGAATGAAGACTTTATTTACACTTTTGGGATCCTCATATTAAATTGCTGTCTTTACAGTCTTATTCTTTTATGGTGTAACCTTAAATTTCAGAACAAAATATTCTTAAAAATGCCGTTTTAAACTTGAGAAGTAGGTCTAGTATTCAAAAATGTGCTCAGAGCTGGGAACTTTTGAATGGTGAATATCGGGATTAATGCTTAATCCACTCTTTTTCTTAATTTCCAGATTGAATAATGCTTGTTCTCCTCTTGTTATTAATCTCCAGATTAATTAACCGATCAGGATTAAGGATATCCCATTTTAAAGTTTTCAGCTCAGTTCCTTTTACGAAGATTTTAACAAACGTCGTTTATTGTACTAAAAAGTGTTTTCTTTAGATACAATCTATCTTTGAAAATTCGCAATTTATTCTATTCTGTTGAATAACACGCAAAAATAGAGTTACATATGAACATTTTTTTTGAAAACCTTTGGAAAAGAGACCGACCTCATTTTCAAATATTAAATAGGCCTACGTTTGAAGATTAAAACGGCATTCTTGAGTGCATTGTGTTATTATTGACGACCATTTATATTTACTGATTTTTTTTTTGATTTTTCCGCTCTTTATTATCTTAAGTTATGATTTAACCATGCTTACAAACACAAATCCACTCTGAATACCTTTAACCCGACCTTGACATTATTTCTATACTAATGAAATTATATCAATACACTTGTACTTATCTATTAAGAACAGATGTATACAAAACATGAAACTTCTACAGAATGCAAAATGTGAAGGAATGTTAAATACCATACGTAGGATTTAAATAGTGTTTTCCAAAAAGCATGAAAAACAATTATTGTTACCAACTCAAAAAATCCAGGAAATTTGGAAACTACAATTGTGTTTTCACAAAAAAAGTATAAGATTGATGCGATAGGATGTTCATAAATAAAAACCAAAGGGGCATATAGAAAATGCTACAATACAAAAGTGCTAAAAAGCTTCTATCATATCCTAAAAAAACAATAACAGGTTTAGCAAACCACATTTATATATATAAACGTTATATAATTTAACGCTTTTTAAAGCAATTGTTTTCAAGCTGGGGATGTTTTTTGGTTTTATATATAATTTATCATTTTTTGTATTTATTGTCTAATATTTTATTTCCTTGTCTTATTTATTATTTCCTTATCTAATTTTTGATTTTCTTATCTAGCTTTTGTTTTCTTAATCTATTTTTTGATTTTATCATTAATTTTTAATTTCCTTATAGAGTTTTTGATTTCCTTCTTTAATTTTGATTTTCTTATCTAATTTTTTATTTCCTTATCTAATTTTTGATTTTCTTATCTAATTTTTGATATCCTCATCTAATTTTTGATTTGCTTATCTAATTTTTGATATCCTTATCTAATTTTTATATTTTATTCTAGTTTTTGATTTTCCTATCTAATTTTTGATTACCTTATCCAATTTTAATCTCCTTATCTAATTTTTTTAATTTTCTTACCTAATTTTTAATTTCTTTATTTCATTTTTAATTTCTTTATCTAATTTTTAATTTCTTTATCTAATTTTTTATTTCTTCATCTAGTTTTTGTTTTTCTTGTCTATTTTTCAATTTCCTTAACTACTTTTTAATTTCTTTATCAATTTATTTTTTATTTTTATGCATCTAATTTAAATTTTTGATTTTTGTATTTGCTATTTATAGGCAGCTGAGGATAAAATATCCTCTATAGAGGATAGATTGGAGGAGGAGGAGAGACAGCTTCAAGTAAGTATAAAATTTTAAAAAATCATTATATGTTGATTTCGATTTTAAAAGTGGTTTATAAATCCATTTTATTTTACTACATGGTGGATAATAATTTACGGAGCATGATTTTGACAAATAAAATTGTTTTCTCGATTGCAAGGTCAAATTGAAAAAAAAATTTAAGTTATAATTGCAAAGCTAAACATCAAGCTTAGAACTAAAAAAGGTTCCATAAGAAACATCTTATTTGGTCGAAGACAGTTTCTACTTCTCTTTGTTCGACGTTATTCTGGTTTAGTTCAAGGAACTGAATATTTATCAAAAACGCTTTTCAACTAACAGGAGTAAAAGGTCAAATTCGATTGATATTACTGGTCCAACTTTGTGACTCCGTGGCTCATCTAGTTCCGATTTTATGCACAAGTTTAAAAAAGAAAATTAATTTGAGTACATATTATGAATTCAAAACATTTTCGTTCTTTTCAATAGCTCTTCAATAAAAGGAGTTATAATAAAAATAATACAAGATTTATATCTTACTTGCATTCTACTTTAGTTTGACGTGCTGTGGTGTAAGCTTAGATATTTCAAACTTAGACTATTTAATTCAAGATTATAATGCAAGGAAAGTTGTTTCAGAGGTGTACCCATCTTATGTATTGCAGTTTACTGTTCTGGGCGGTAATGTAAACACAAGACGGATGTCGAAGCCTGACATGGGATCCATCTTTCACATAAAAAAAATCATTGAAATATTCTGGTCATAGGAAACTATTATGTGAATTATCAAAATTATCAAAATTTGATGCTTTTAACCTCCTCGGATACTGAACGAACACTGATGCATCTATTCTTGTTTACAAATTCCGCCTAGAGAGAACTGGTTTCAATATGTACACAGAGTATACGCAACTGCAATTAACTTTCCTTGCATTAAAACCTTGATTTAATTAAACTAAATTCATATTTGGATATACATATTAATGGTCTACGACTTTAGGCCGTAAAAATGTATGGTTTTAAATTAAGCAATAGCAAGTTGTTCAGTTCCAGGATAAAACGGGTTTAATTAAGGAGGAACAAGAAGTATGGAACGATTTAAAAATAGTTTTCTTACAGATTCTTTTTTTTTCTCTATACAATGTTCCAATGAGCCATGAAACCATTTCTATAATTTTCCTCAGATGTCCAATTTAGCGGATAGAGAGGTTTGGTTTACAATATTTTCTTCAATGGATGAAAATTCCATATACTCTACCAACACAAGTTAAAGAAAAAGTTTATTTCTTGATTCTAATTTGAAGTAGGACTCTTTTAAAATTAGTTCATCAGTAATTATACAAATTAGAGGCAAAAATATCCTTATTTGTGAGACTGACTCCATTTAAGGACAACTGATTTGGAAATCAAATCATTTGATTTAGAAACTGGAAGTAGATAGTTAATTGTTCAATAGTTTTGTTGTTAGCTAGCAGAGGTGTACACGGGAATATGTTCTGGGGAAGGGAAGCATACTCCCCTGGGCCTGCAGAGCCCCTCGTGTATACTGTATACGCCCCTGCTAACTTAAATACATAGAGCCCCTCGTGTATAGGACCCTGTTAACTTAAATACATAGAGCCCCTCGTTTATGCACGCCCCTGTTAACTTAAATACATAGAGCCCCTCGTGTATACGCCCCTGTTAACTTAAATACATAGAGCCCCTCGTGTATGCACGCCCCTGTTAACTTAAATACATAGAGCCCCTCGTGTATGCACGCCCCTGTTAACTTAAATACATAGAGCCCCTCGTGTATACACCCCTGTTAACTTTAATACATAGAGCCCCTCGTGTATACACCCCTGTTAACTTAAATACATTGAATAGAGATTTTAAGAACGTTTAATTAAATAAGCGTGATGTTCAAACTATACATTCACTTAGATCAAATTTGAAATATTAAAGGTCTACACCATCAGATTACAAAAATATGGAGATTAGAAAATATGAGTATGTGGCAAAAACTCGGTTCCTCACATTTGTAAATTTTGCTTAAAGGCTGTGTTGGACCACGGCAAAAAATGGTCAATAAAAATAACCTCTTGCAAGCAAAAAATATCAGTGAAATTAAACGCATTCGTTTTTTTGTGACGGAAAATGCAACATTCATGACGGGAAAATTAAATTTACGAAGGCGGACATTAAATTATTGGGAGACAGAAAATAATTTCACAAACTCACAGTGATCCAAAAGTTGCACGTTCTTAGTGAAAACATATTATAATTTTGTTAATTACTTTTTAAAAATATGTGTTCTAACATGTACATGACCAGAGTCTAAAACTAAAGAATGCGCGAATTTTAAGTTCGAGGTTAAAAGTTCTGTAAAATAATGAGTAGCTACTTAAATATTAAACTTTCTCAATTTTAAATTTGAATTTCCCGGGAAAATCTGAACCAATCAGAGAAAAGGATTTACGGAGAATATTACATAATCAGCTGATTACGTAACCGAAAACAAAACATATTTCGAGTTATACAACCGTTTTTTGGGTTTACATGCAAAAATTAATTAATCTAAAACGTGAAATTTCTTTAACAAGGTTTTCACTTTTAAATATATCGTAAAGTTGAATGCAACTTTCTCAGCTGAATGATGATTGAATAATAGACAAATAGAGAAAAATCCAGGATTTCAAGATTTTAACCCTGTGTTTAAATTTTAACTCGTCGATTTCGGCGAGTTAAATATTTAACCTCACGGTTAAAGTTCAGGGTTAAATTAAGTCAGAAGTGGCATTTAACCATGAACTTAAAATTTAAGTCAAAACTTTTCGTTCTTTAGTTTTAGACTCTGAGCTGAAAACTTTAGAATGGGATTCCTTAATTCCGACTGGTTCATTAATCTGGAAATTAATAACAAGAGGAGAACAAGCATTATTTAATCTCGAGATTAAGAAAAAGTGTGGATCAACCATTAAGCCCAATATCCACCATTCAAAAGTTCCCAGCTAAGGGCTACAAATAAGTTTAAGGGATTACGACAGTTGAAAATTAATGTGTAACCAGTATGTGTAACATAAAGAAGGTGGTTTATTTATCTGGAGGACTCCATAGATTTCATAGTTATCTGGATCTATGTGTAACCAGTATGTGTATGCATAAAGAAGGTGGTTTATTTATCTGGAGCATTCCATAGATTTCATTGTTGTCTGCACTATGTGTAACCAGTATGTGTATACATAAAAAAGGTGGTTTATCTATCTGTAGCACTCCATAGTTTTCATTGTTGTCTGGATCTATGTGTAACCAGTATGTGTATACATAAAGAAGGTGGTTTATCTGGAGCACTCCATAGATTTCATTGTTGTTTGGATCTACAGAGCGTCCCATATCATATTAGATTATCTCTAATCTTTAACACCTGTTTACGCACATAATACTCGAAAAATCTTGCATTTTCTGCAAAAAAAAAATTTCTATTAGCTTATTAAATTTTTCAAAATGATTCATTCTTCTTAAATTTTCTGATTTGTCCCCCAAATCGTAATCTAGACCCATTGACGCGGTCTAATTTGATGTGGGACACCCTGTATGTGTAACATAAAGAAGGCGGTTTATTTATGTGTAGCACTCATGCATAGTTTTTCAGTTAAAGGAAATAATGCATAAAAGAAATTAATCAGACACAATTAATGGTTTATGCAATAAGCATGGAATTTGCACTCTCTTAAAGGAACTCTAGAATAATTTCCAATGAGCTTCCTTTTAGTTGGTAAAATTTCCGATTCAGAAGGGTCCCTTTAAACCGTTGTCCGATCACTCACTCTCTTTTCTATTGCGGACTATTTATATAACAACTTGCGGATTTCTTTTGCAGAAACACCGATGGAAATTGTCAGAATTTAAACTATTCATAATAAAAATCAATGCTATCCTCCTCATTGATGAAAATGGTACCATAATGAATCGGACTTGCCGCGCTAGGGTACGTCACTTGATCGTGTACTGTCTCTTTAAAAATATACAAATAATAGGAACTTTCCTTGGCGATAATGTTATACGTTTGGAATAAGTTTACATAAAAAAACTTAACTGCACTGCACATTAGCGAACATATCGATTAAACAATTTATTATTCTTAAAACAAAACGAAACTAAAGTATACTTTTTAAAAAGAAAGATGATTCCATGGTAATTTTACATCGTCTATACGCAACATCCCCCCTACTAAACTTCTGACCTACTAACTTTCCGACCTACTGCAATATCGGACCTACGCCAGCTGTTTATTTTTGTATTATTTGAGGGTTAGGTTAGGTTAAGACAATTTCTGGACCGAGCGCTGCGGCTAGGACAGGCTAGGGGGCCGAGCGCCGCGGATAGGACAGGCTAGGGGGCCATTCGCTGCAGCCACAAGTCCATTTACCTGCTGTAAAGCCACGTGCTAGTAGGTTGGATGTGTAGTATAGCGGATTTGTCGTAGGTCAGAAGTGAAGTATAGCGGATTTGTGTAGGTGGAAAAATACACCACCGATTTCATGTGTTATCTTATTAGTACCAGAGATAAACGTACAGTATATACAATGCACAGCTCTCATTGGTTTTACTACGTAATAAAATGCTAAATTTTTTTACGAAAAATGTTAGCAAAAAATACTTTCTTAATGGCCGGTAAATCGCCATGCCACTAAAAATCAATAAATCAAAATTGGCATAGCTGCACATTAATTTCATGCCAAGAAGTAGTTGAGCTATATAGAATAGATTGAACCATCATCTCTTCCGCTTTACTCAGCGTACAAGAGAAATGGTTCAACTGGTCTCATGTTCCTTAATTCTGAAGATAGTTTGTTTAAGCTATATATAGACTACATACTAAAGAAAATTATACATAAGATTAAAATTTTATATGTTTCCAATCATAATTCTTCTTATTTAAGAGCTATTGAGAAAAACTAAATTTTTCTCGTACTTCTGCAAAAAATCTAAACTAGAGGTGCTACAAGGTCACAAAGTCGTCCTAACAAATGTCAAATAAATTAATTTGACCATCTCCTTGTGTCGAGTTTACAGTGGCTAAAATAATTTTGCTTTAGTGCTGTTTACTTATATCTCTAGATACGGGCACGTGCTTTACGCAGGAAGAGCGAAGATATTTTCAAGTTTGTTGATCATCATAGAATCATGGTTTCAAGAGCTGAGAGCGCAAGGTAGGATACAATTATACATCAAATGTTAGACGAGGGGAGGAAGGCCCTTCCACAACAATTTCTAGTCCGAGCCACCTCGGAATCCTTGTCCTATTCTAATCCTAGATAAAAAAATTTTTAAATCTGGCCACGTTAGGGCATAAAATATGGATGGACTGACGTATTGCAATGATTACATCATGTTGGAATCTTTAAACCCATGAGAATGATGTCAAACTTTGTTCAGGTAAAACTTAAATCTCTTCTGCCCCCGCAATGGGGGCTAACTTCGCGATATAAAAAATAGCAAAATATTTGGCATACCTTTACCTATCATTTTTCACATGGAACAAACCTCAAAAAGTCTATGGTTTTCACTATTTAGTTAACAAAAAAGATTTTAGCTATATAAACTCGGAATTATTTGCGGCATTCTACACCAGGAATATCTGAAAATGCGCGTAAAAAAGGTGAACATTTTTAAAGACATTAAACATGAAAACTTGAATTCAATTGAAACTTTTTTTTCGATTTCCAAAAATTTGATATTGTGTCCAGATTTTTTAGAAATAGTTTTATCTGGGAGGATTAAACACTTAAAAAACATAATATTGAAAGGGCGAGAATTTCGAGGTGGATCGGTCGAGAAAATGAGGAGAATGAAGCTGGGACGAGAAATTGTTGGTGTGGTTGGCCTTCCTCCCTTCGTTAGACAATGGAATTGAGTCTTTGATACAGTCGTCATATCAATACAATGAAGACGACTTTCGATTTAAATTTTTATTTATATCAAGTGGTTAAACAGCCTGAATACACATTAACATAGAAGTCAAGAGAAGCTGTCAATTAAAAAAAGTTTTTTTTTATTACTTGTAAACTTTTAATTTAAAAAAACTTAATCAAACTTCAATTTAAAAGTCGTCTTCATTGTATTGATATAATCGCCTACCACTTTAAAACTTTTATGTTCTAAGCCCTATATCTTTTTGCAACTCAATGCATGCGAGACTAAAAAAAATGCAGAGCAAAAGGGGAAAAGGGGTTTGTTAGTACGTAAAATATCCCCCCCCCCTCTACTCATCCCTTAGATGCGCCAATAATACACAGAAAAAACTAATTTAAAAACAGAATTATCGTAACACATACAATAATAAATTGAATAATATAAACAAATGTATTTATCATTAACAATTAAACAAATCGTGACAAAAGATAGTAGTTTTAAACTACAAAAACTATAATAATGAAATGATGACATTTGTTCATTACTTTAATTACGTAAAACGGAGTCATCTCTTTAAATTCATAGAATTCATTCGGATTTTTATAAAACCATGGTGACAATGAAATGCAAGGCGTGATAATTAGAAGAAAAAAATAATAATTACAAAAATAAAAAAAATTTCGCGGGTTTACAAAAAAAATTTAATTCAAAATTATTTCGAGGCTTTTTTATTCTGCCCGGTCATAAACAATTTTGGCTAGAACTTACACAAACCAACTGACATACAAGCCAAATATACATTTAGATAAGATAAAAATGAAATGATTTTTAGGGTGACTAGTGAAGGTGATGTGAGATACTGCGAGGTGACTTCATTATAAACCTGTATTTCTACTAGAGCAAATCTAAACTTCAATCTAGATTTTAGCAAAAATATATCACGTTCGGAAGCCATGAAATCGTCTAAAACATATTAAAAGTTTCCCCTGAAATGTTTGGAGCAAATTGTTGTAAAAATGTGAGATATATTGTGGAGAAAGGAATGCAAGTAGAAGACTACGTATGTAGACTCTAGAAACTAGAAGTATGTAATATATTCAGGGTTTTTTCTTTAAAGTTTCAAACTTCAATTTTTTTATTTCCAAATCTAAACACCCTTTACACACAGGGTTACCCACAAAGGATGAAACTTCGGAAACAACTGTACATGCACTATCTGTTTTCTTTATATTAATGATTCCCAGCAACTGTAAACTTGTTTCTTCTTTTTCATAATCATTGAATAAACCATAAAAAGATTATATTCAAAAGAAAACTCAATTTAATCTTGAAATAGTCATATTTAAAGAGTTTCAGGTTGTCTAGACATTCTCATCCTTTGAATGGGTTAACATATACATGCATAGTTATGTTTTCATGTGTAGAAGATTGAATGTTTATTGTTGTATTGTATTGTATTGTATTATATTATATTATATTGTATTGCATTGTAATCTGTATTTGTTTAACAACCTGTACAAAAAATGTTATATTTCAAATATTAGACGCACTCATGATCTCATGTCCATGTTTAAAAATATTAAGAAAATTACAATTAAATTTCAATAATCTGAATTTCTACTTACCCCTTAAAAAATTAGATCTGACTGTGTGTTTATTGGACATTTTTTAAGGTGTAACCTATTTGTGCTTTGTAACTTATTAGTACTACGTAATCTAAATTTCTCTAAATTTCTCTTAACACATTGAACCAAAAAGTTATTTGTGCACATTACACAACCATATTTGTAATTATCAAATGAGAAATAATTAAGTTTCTTTTCAAAATGAAACAGTATGAACAAAATTGTGACTCGAATGGTGAACATTTTTTTTCTGAACAAAGGAATTTTTAAAAATCTGAAAAATGCATAGGGGCTACTCGTTCTGTCCTGGGCAGAATAGAAAGATTATTCCTAGGATCCGCAGAGAACGATTTAAAAAAAAATTCTCTCTGAAGAACCATAGGATAGAAATAGAGTACGTTTCTCTTTTAATTCTGCCCTTTCCCTCCCCATAGATTTAAGACTTTACAAAATTTGATTTTTTTATTTGGATGTTTCAAAGGTGCAGTTCAGTGTTTATAATAAACCTTTTAAGTTAATCTTGTGTTTTTTCATCAACTTTAAATGAATTATAAAATGTTTGAAACTAACTGTTTTATCTAAATATTTTGCTGTCAGCACTCAACAGTTTTGACTTGCATTTTCCTTGTAACAAAAAGTGTAAAATTCTTTTAAAAATTTGTTTAGAAAGCAATTGTATCCACATAAGACTAGTAACAATGTTTTTTTTGGTTGCTTTTTTGGATTGTTTTGAGGCCCAAAATCTACGAATGCCCCTCTCGTGTAAAAAGTTTCAGTTTTAAGTTTTGTGCTGACATTTTTAAAGATTAAGAGGTCTCTCATTGGTCGAACCACAACCAATCAAAAGCTAACCCAAGCCTTGGTCTCACGAACCACAACCAATCAAAAGCTATCCCAAGCATCGGTCTCACGAACGCTTTAGCTTACATGAAGGCCGGGTTTTCTTTTAAATCTCAGCTCTGAACAACTTAGTTCTAAATTAATCTATATTTTTGTTGTAAATAAAATAAAACACATGTTATTGATTATACTTTTATTTTGAAGTCACCTTCTCTTTGTAATAAAATATTATATTTATTCTAATTCTTATTATCAGATGAAACATTTTAAAAAAATTAAACCAACATTAGGTTTAAATTAATTAAAATTAATTAGGTTTAAATAAATTGAGAAAATGTTAAAAATATTAACACATAATTTACACGTTCACATATTTAAACGAAAGTGAACCTAAAAGGAGGGATGTATTATAGATAAAGATACTGGACAGATAATCTTGATAATTGTATTAAGAAGAAGGACAATGTCAATAATTACAATAATAAACGTCTAAGCATGACATCTGTACAGAAATCAGCAAAAATTTAATAAAACATGTACGGCAAAATATATTTTTTAGGATGGCGAAATTTGAAATGTAAATTTTATAACTTCTGTTCGGTTCAGAACTCCTTCTTATATCGATATAAAAGTAAAAACCCACCAAAAATGACATGAAAGCTGCAGCAAAATAACAGCAAATAAACAGAATACATTCTTAAACAATTCTAAGCCAAAGTTTTTTTTTCATATGTTCGATTCAAAACATGCTAAGTACTAACGACAGCACATAACAGCACATAATAGCACATAACAGCACATAACAGCACATAACAGCACATAACAGCACATAACAGCACATAACAGCATATAACAGCACAAAACAGCACAACAGCACATAACAGCATATAACAACACACAACAGCACATAATAGCACATAACAGCACATAACAGCAAAAAACAGCACAAAACAGCAAAAACAGCACAAAACAGCACAAAACAGCACAAAACAGCACATAACAGCACAAAACAGCACATAACAGCACATAACAGCACATAACAGCACATAATAGCACAAAACAGCACAAAACAGCACATCACAGCACATAACAGCACATAACAGCACTTAACAGAACAAAACAGCACATAACAGCAAATAACAGCACATAACAGCCCAGAACAGTGCATAAGATCACAAAACAGCACATAAGAGCACAGAACAGTGAATGACAGCACATAACAGCACAAAACAGCGCATAACAGCAGATAACAGCACATAACAGCACATAGCATCACATAACAGCACATAACAGCACAGAGCAGTGCATTACAGAACATAACAGCGCATGACAGCACAGAACAGTGCGTAACAGCACATAACAACACATAACAATACATAACAGCACAGAACAGTGCATAGCAGCACATAACAATGCATAGCAGCACATAACAGCGCATAACAGTACATAACAACACATAACAATACATAACAGCACAGAACAGTGCATAGCAGCATATAACAGCACTTAACAGCACATAACAGCCCATAACAGTACATAACAGCACATAACAGTACATAACAGCACATAACAACACATAACAGCACATAACAGCACATAACAGCACATAACAGCACATAACAGCACATAACAACACATAACAGCACATAACAGTACATAACAGCACATGACAACACATAACAGCACATAACAGCACATAACAGCACATAACAACACATAACAGCATATAACAGCACAAAACAGCAAATAACAGCACATAACAGCATTTAAATCTCCATTAAAGGTGAATAATTCAATTGGTGTACTGCCTCGTTTTGCCCTCAAGTCTGCACGGTACTTCAAATAAACCTGAGTTTTCAGTGACAGAAAACCTGACAAACTTAAAACTAATGGGCACGGACAACGCCGGGTACTTAAGAAAGACGTTTTATTCCAAACTTTGAATTATTCATTAATCTCGTCTAATCCTTTGTGGAAAGTTGAATTGTATTCTATTTTGAACAATGAAGGTTTGTAAAAGTTCAAGAAGTTAATTCCCCTACCTACCTCCCCTACCTATCTCCCTTTACCTACCTCTCCCTACCTACCTCTCCCTACCTACCTACCCCTACCGTCTCCCCCAACCTACCTCCTCCTACCGTCTCCCCCTACCTACCTCCCCTTACCTACCTCTCCCTACCTACCTCCTCCTACCGTCTCCCCCAACCTACCTCTCCCTACCGTCTCCCCTACCTACCTTCCCCATCCAATTAGTTTTATTTATTCATTAAATAGTACATAGTATATAAGACATTTAAGAAAATAAAAAGTTTGAAATCCATAAAATGAAAACAACCTTTCAAGGTCGATTATTAATCATGAGTTTTGAAAATTTGTTTTGCGCTTTTCGAATTTAATTAAGGAATACAATTGTAATAAAAAGATTACAAAATGAATGTGCAATGCATGAAGTAAAAAATCAATCTAAAAATAAAAAAAATTAAATTAACGATAAATCAGTTAAAGAAATAATTTAAAAATACAAATAATGTACTTTATATTTCCTAATTCAATTTTTTCTCATATGGTCTTTGGTTTGAAAAGAATAACGTATCACATTTAAATACTACTGAACAGAATTCAAAGTTTGAAATATCAAAGGTTTGCGACATCGGGTTGCTAAGATATAGGAGAAACAAAAATAAAGATTGTGGCAAAACTCATTTCCTTTATGAAGAGACATCCCATCTCTGACCCATATCATTCTACAGATTGGAATAAGAAAAATAAATATGACATTCTAGATATTTTTTGATACAAATTCTAGTTTATAAAACCGTGGTGCAACTAGAGAGCAGGTTATGAAATTAGGTAAAAATATGAATGATTTGGAGTTTTCGTTTGATAGTTTTTGTATTCAAAGGAACAAGAATTCGGAGACTCCAGATATCCCTTGAAAACCTTTGGATTCCATATTATATCATTGGAGACCTAAGCTTTTCATCGGAAACCTCCCAGATATTTAACGGACACTCCCAAATATTTAACGGATACTCCAAGATATTCAACGGATTCTCCCAGATATTCAACGGACTATCCCAGATATTCAATGGATACTCCCAGATATTCAACGAATACTGCCAGATATTCAACGCATACTGCCAGATATTCAACGAATACTGCCAGATATTCAACGCATACTGCCAGATATTCAACGAATACTCCCAGATATTCAATGAATACTTCCAGATATTCAACGGACACTCCCAGATATTCAACGGATACTCCCAGATATTCAACGGATACTCCCAGATATTCAACGGATACTCCCAGATATTCAACGGACAATCCCAGATATCCAACGGACACTCCCAGATATTCATAAAGACCCCAAGATTTTCATTGTAAAACCCCAAGCTTATCATTGGAGACTTAAGATTTTCATAGAAGACCCCAAGATTTTTATCGAAGACCCCAAGATTTTTATCGAAGACCCCAAGATTTTTATCGGACAATCCCAGATTTACATGCAAGATCCCAAACAGTTCATTGGAGACCCTCAGATTTTTAATTGAGACCCCAAGCTGATCATGCTTTTGTATATTTTATTGTGTTTTTATATGGAAATTCTTTTATTAAGGCTCATTCAATATATATAATCTTAAAACAAAAAACTGAAAATTTTAATAAGATTTGGATTTTAAAAATAAATCGTAAATTTTCTTCAAGTTTCATCAGTTTTTGAGAGGAACAGTGAAATTCGTTTTATTAATTTGAAACTCAGTGAATTACTCAAGTTCTTTTAGAAATTAATTAATTTAAATGATTTTAATTATTTCCTCA